ATTTAAGTTATGTTACATTTAATATCTTGTACTTATAATACAAATATTTGTAAAACTGCATGAAGATTTTTTTTCCCTTTTTTTTAGATATGATAGCAGATTGTTTGGAGCTTAGTAAGAACACTGCACTGATGCTGACCTTGTACAGACAGTGTGAGAGTGGGGCTTATGGAGAAAGAGTTCAGGTATAGGCAGGAGAAAAAACAAGCTGACATGACATTTTAACTGTTAGAAAGAAGTTTTGTCCTGGTCTGAAAAATGTTAGATAGAAAGGATCTGTTGGCTAATGGGAAAACAAGTAACTTTTGAAAAAGGATTGATTAGGCAGTAAAGGGTAATTTCTGTTGGTTTTGTTGTTGCTATTTTTATTAATTTTATATCATAATGCTACTTTTGCCAATTGGTACATGTATAACATCAAGTATTAAGATTCCAGATAGAAAATACAGGATTTTTGTCTTGTGTTTCTAAAAAGCATATCTTGTTTTGTTTTGGGATTGACAGAGTGCTGGACAAGGTGACCACGACCAGTCTGGCCAGGACCTCTACAAGCAGTGGACATTTGACCCTTTCTTTGAGGAGGATGGACTTGTACTGGACTCATCAGTCACACTCACCATGGCTGCAGAGTATGCCATTACTTTACTACCAAAAGCTGGTAGGTACACAAACAATATCAGTAAAATATTTTAGAGTTTTTTCTCTGAGAAAGGAAGGATATAAATCTTCATTTTTAACACCATCAGCCTAATTCTCTTCTGTAAACCAAAATAATTGACTAAGATTTGCTTGTTTTTCAGAGCGTGGTAAAGCCCCTTACCTACAGCACAGAATTCAAGGAGAGGCAAAGAAAGGTGGGTAAACAGAGTTGATTAGGCAATGGCCATCTAACTCATGCTGGTACATGTAAATATGTCTTCCTAACTACAGAATACAAGAACCACTTGCTCCAAGTCCTTTATATTTTGAAATTGTTAATCTATCTATGTCCAACTTGGTAAGTAGTAAGAAATAGCCAAGTTTACATGGCCTGCTTAACATTTTGGTTTACTTTAAAAGATACCGTTGGTAATTTAAAAATAAAATTTTGGTTTCTCATGACATATTTTCTTCTATTAGATATTTGTCTTAATGTGTGTTGATTTTTTAAAACTTTTTTGTTTAATGTCTTATTAATAACATAATAAAAACATTTTGTCCTTTTATTGTCAACAATCTTTTCTCAAAGTGCATTTCTTTTTGCAGTCTCTTCAAACGCAAATGTAGAAAACACAGAAACTGTGCCAGGGGCAGACACTCCGTTATATAAGACCTTAAATGCCACCGCCCTGGACTTGGTTCAGTATTTGAGAGAGAACAGTCAGTTTGAGCTCGCCCTGAACATAACTCATCAGACCATAGGCAGCGTGCTGCAGCATCACTCCATACAAAGCATGGGATATGAGGCTCAGGACCAGGTAACACATGTTTTGTTATACAGTGGGCAGGAATCAAGTTAATCTGTACTTAAAGAATGCATTCTTTTTAGACTTAAAAAGGGAATTTAAATGTAGCAATATCATTCAGTTTTATCATTTAGGATCTTAAGCCTCGAGGTCAGAATACCTATATTTATTTATCTATTTATTTGTTCCTCTTCCGTTGGAGTCAGGATTGTTTCTTAAGTATCAAGAATTAGAACTAATTTTTTTTTTAATTGCCAATATGATTCACTATGGAAACCCAGTGATTGACACATTTTAGCTAAAAAATGCAGTTGGTTTTCCAATTTAATTATATTTATCTTTATGGAAATCAAAAGGAAAATAAAAATAAAAAAGAAGCAATTATTTTAACGCAGTTTGTGGTATATTTAGCTTTAAAAATAACTGTTGTTGCAGGCACTCAAGACAGCTCTTAATGAAGACAAGAGATTGGTGATGAAAGCTGCACAGATTGGTCTGGTAACACAGAAGGATCTGGTCTCCACCCTGTTCTGCAAGGTAAAGATTGGGTTTCTCTCTGTTAAAGGTATTTATAATCTAATTTATTATGAAAACAATTAAAATATGTATATATCTGAAGTGAATGGGTCAGAGTGCAAAACAACACAGTCAGATAATTGAAATACATGGATTTGCTCTGTTTATTCTTGTCATAAGCACATATTTAAAGTATGTTTTTTTTTCTCTTCCAGCTTTTCACAAAGAAACATGTTGACCATATCTTGGCTGTGGGATATATTTGCTCTCTGCAGAACAAGAAAATTGCTATGGAGATGATGACAAAATTGACCCGCCAGGCAGGGTTGAATTACAAGACTTTGCTGGTATGTTTTTAAAGATTTTGCTGAAGTACATATATAGAAAATTATGCACTTTGTAGATTATTGTCCTTCATCTACGTTACATGAGGCATTATATTTGCTTTTTTTCTTGCTTGACTGTGTACTTTTAAAATTCATTAAAAAGTGTTTTGTCACAAAAAAGTTTATAAGTTTCCTATTAAAATATTTATTCCACTTATTTCATTTACACTTCAAATATTACTTTTATCGTAACAAACTAACATTTGGTATTTATGTCTCTTATTTAAAAAGAAAGATTGAATTCTTTGAAATGCTATTATTCCAGGCAATTGCTACTGTAGGAAAAGACTATGCTGTTCTTTCCAAGGAACCCAAAGTACTGTTGAAATGTAATGAAATGGCAGCCAATGCAAAATGGGGACACAAGTTTTCTAAGCTTAAGGTAAAATGAGACATCTGTTGGGAAGGAAATGAAAAAGGCATACACAGGGGGTGGGGGTCATAGATATTGTTTAAGTATAATTTTACTGGTAGAATAAAGCCAATACATGGGACAGTGGTAAACTAATTAGGACAACTAAAATGGATTTGTACGTTTTAAACATTTCAGATATCTTTCAAAGAAGCCTACGAAGGCAAAGGGGAAGAAAAGAGAAAATTAATTCCTCAGTTGGTCCACCATGAACAGGTGGAACTTGAACTTATTGGAGAATACTGCAGGTATGCAATGATTATGTTGTCATTATTTACGAAAGTTTATGAAACCCAGACCTACCTGTGTCCATTTTAACTTTGCTTCATGGTTGAAGTTAGTTGTATGATTTTTTTCATCCATCCTTTTTTCATACAGAATTGGTATTGTGTTTTCAGAGCCTTTAACCTAGATGAAAATGAGGCATTGTTTGAGTATCTAGAAGCACTACTGTTGGGTAAATCCCACCTAACAGTTAGTGCCCGCCACAGGATGGCTACCAGAGTGATAGAGGGCATTACTGCCAAAGACAAGCTGTTACCTAAACTAAACAGCATTGTGTTACAGGTATGTTACTGGCATTTTACATGTATGCTGGATATGGGCATTTCAATGTGACAATGCCTGTGCCTTTCTTCTTTGGCAAGTACTTTGACAGGCCATACTTGGTCAGTGTCAGCCTATATTAAGCAGGGGCGGATTTAGGGGGTCTTCTGGGTCTTCCGGAAGACGGTCAGATTTTCAAGTTTACATTGACGGGTATCTAATTTTTTCTGTCGGAAGACGGTCAAAAATGGTGGATGGGTCAACAAAGATAATTTGGAAGACCGTCAGAAAATATCTCTGGATCCGCCCCTGTTAAGGCATGTTTATCCCCAACGTGGCAAGTAGTTAAAAAAAAAACATCACCCTGAATGATACTGAAAAGCTGTGTAGTGTACATAATCAGCTTCACTAGTAATTGTACTCTTCGTATCTTCATGTTAACATGTTTCCATAAAAATCTCCCTTTGGTTGATTGTAATTGCTAAACAGTTGTTCCTTATGAATGTGATGGTAGACATCAGTTACAGCACAGTTCTGGACTCTTTTACAGTTTGGTTCGTTAAGTGCCATCAGATTTGCATAGTAAATTATCATTGTTTTTCTAATTGTATGTATATTTATTTATTTATTTATTTATTTATTTATTTATTTATTTATTTATTTATTTATTTATTTATTTATTTATTTATTTATTTATTTATTTATTTATTTTACTTTGTACCATTTCAAATGTGATTATTTATAACATGTTGAATTACATTCTAGATTGATCCATATGCATATGAAGAGCTGGATTACATGCTGATCAAAATCAATGAATTGGATTCCAGTGCCTATGTGCAAAAGGTAAGTTTTGCTTGAGTCTGGTAAATGTGTAGAATGTGAATTTGGCTAAAATTGCAGTAACAGAGCATAGTTTTCTTTTTTTGTCAATATTTGCATATGAAGAAAAGATTTTTCAAGTATCCTTCCTTATAAGCAAATCTGATATAGTAAAGTTTTTAGATAGTACTTACATATATTGGTTTTGGGGTATAAAGGCGTTTCATCAAGTAAGATTTATTTTTTTTACGCTCAATTTCCTATGAATGTACAGATTTTATTTCACCACTACTCTTTGTATGCTATGAAAATCTTGTCTTTTTATGCTTTGATTTAAAAAAAATCTAAAAATTTGATACTAACTTTTCAGGGCCTAAAACTGCTAGAATATTTGTCCTTTTACGTAAGGTCTGCCCCTCCCTCGGATTATGAGATCAACTACAAACATATCACTGAGGATGAACAGGTTTGTTTTTCTTTAATTTGAGAAAACAATATTTTCAGTATTTTCAAATGGTGATGAAATTCACTGTAACTGTATTTTGAAACTAGAAAAAAATATTTTTATGATTAACAACACAACAGAACAAGTTTCTTTTTATGATGACAGTGACAATTTCATTCAGACACAGGCATGGATGTGTTTAAGTATTGACCAAACTTCTTAAAATGTTTTATTTCTCAGACACTTCAGGTTTCCCTATAAAGTATTGTATGTTACTTCCTTATAAAGGAAAAATGATTTCTGTTTTAGCTGCTGTGTGGAGGCAGGGCCTTAGCACCACTGTCTGAGAAGAGGTTGCCCTTCCATCCTCTTCTCATGGGAGAACCCTGGAAAATCATAAGTATGTAGAAAAATTGTGTAGATCTATTACTTTTTTTTATTTTGCAAACAAAAAATGCTGTCACACATTATCCATTATATTTTAACCATTTTTGTTTTGACATGAGTGGTTTTGCAAAATTTAAGAATGATAATTCATGTTTTGTGATCACATCACTTATGGTATGGGTGTTTGTGTTACAGGTTGAATTTAATATTTGAATTCAAATTTTGCAGCCCCAGAACTGAATGCAAGTACAGTTTCTCTTTGGCTGCCTATCACACAGCTACTCAAGGTAAACTAGGTCAATAGATAATTTAAGAATTGCCTGTATTGTTTGATCTTTTCTGTTATTTATATAGGGATAATATTCCACTCTGCACTGGTGTTATTATGTGGATACTATTAGAAAGAGGAAACTATAAAGTCATGAAGCAGGGTAAAATAAAATTCATTATGGTAGTTTTTAATTTATCTAGATTTTGCAGTTTTATCACTTCTTGCACCAAAGAGATGGTGCTTATCAGCATTCTTTGCTGAATTTATTTAATCATATTAATTCTTCCATTAGTTGAACACAGATCAGGTATACTTAACCACCATACAGAACATCATTAAGAAGCATGTGGAAGGCAAGAAAGCCAAGGAGACACTGGACAAGAGTAAATGTAGCTGGAATCCAGACACTGATGTGGACCTGAAGTTATTTGACAGTGTGAGGAAGCTGCTGCTCAATGTATCTCACTGTGAGATGGCAGTAGCTTGTGGTAGATGGGTGGTGCAGGAACTGCCCATGGGTAAGTGCCTCCACAACCCCTCCCCCCCCATGCACACGCGTACACACACACACACACACACACACACACACACACACACACACACACACACACACACACACACACTGTGCTGAAATCAATTTAAAAAAAAGTTCATTTATCATTTACACTATTAGAGGCAGATATTTTATTTCTCCCTCTTTCTCACACACACACACACACACACACACACACACACACACACACACACACACACACACACACACACACACACACACACACACACATTTCTATATGTAAAACAGGCTGCCTTGTTTTCACTGGAGTTAGAACTGCTGATTTATCTTGTGTCAAAGATACTAAAATTTTGGACTTACGGTTGAGACCAACCTAAATGGCAGTGTAAGATATGCCCAAGATAAATTTTGATAATTCAGATGTATGTAAGAGGATCAGTTTATTCCAAATTTTAGTTCAATCTAAAATGTTTAGTATTTCATTGTTTCAGTTGCCTGACATTGAATGAGAATTGTCAGAATACGGGGAAAATTTGATTTAAGTTTAATTTTAATGTCAGTTTTACAGACTGCAGCTTTTAATAATTTGGCGAAAATCATTGAGCAAATGTACTTAACAATGTGTGTAAGAATTATTTGATCAAATGTATGTTATGGATACCAAGCTGTATTTACAGTAAGTGGGTTTCATTTTCTCCAGGTGCTGAAAAAGTGGTAGCTCTGAAGTTCTGTGCCATGTTGGCACAGAAATGGTTAGAGGTGTGTCCTCAAGAGGTAAGGTGATAATGGTCTAAATGATTGTGTGCCAGAGAGAGAGAGAGAGAGAGAGAGAGAGAGAGAGATTCCTAACAATATACCTAATACCCTCTATCTGTAAATTTGAATTATATTTTCATTTAAACATCAGGCAACTCAAACTAATGACATTACTCTGGCTCTTAAATCACTCTGGCTCTTTTTGTAGGGTCCAGAAAAGGTCAAAGCCCAGGAAGCCTACAGCAAGTTCTCCCAGATGTGGTGTCGCTTGGCCACAGAACAGGTGCTTTACCAGAACAGACTGGCAGAGGAAGAGCTGCTTAGCCTGGCCCCACGACCCACCAAACTGATCATGAAGCTGTATGACCACCCTAGCATACTGCAGAGAATGGAGCCTGGAGCACCCAGCAGTTTACCTGGTAGAAAAAGTTATCACTGTAGTATAGCAGGGGCGGATCCAGAGATATTTTCTGACAGTCTTCCACATTATCTTTGTTGATCCATCCTCCATTTTTTGACCATCTTCCAACAGAAAAAATTAGGTACTCATCAATGTAAACTTAAAAATTTGACCGTCTTCCGAAAGATCCAGAAGACTGCCTCAACCCGCCCCTTTTGGTCAAGATTTTGTATATTTTTTTTTCAGACATCCACAAAATAGCAGACAGTGTTGCAGAGGTGAATAAAGTCAATGTTTCCAAGATTCGTCTGACTCTGGTAGAAAAATGGATGCCCTCTGCATCTCAAGCAAAACAAGAGGAAGAAGACACTGTAAGTTACTGGGAGTTCAAGACAGCTTTTTTAAAATGTATATATTTATATATAATTCTAATAGAAATACATATTTTATTTTGACTTAAAATCAGGAATTTGTTTATTTATTTTAACAAATTAAAATGACTTCAAGATGTAAAATTGTGATAAATTGCAGATAAACCGTTCAGGCAATAAGAAATTTTAAATGAAGATCTAAGTTATAGGGCAAGTTAGGATCAACAGTCAGAAATGCATTTTCTGTATCCATTTAGGCTGTTCCAATTTGTAATATTGTGGGTATTCAGCAGTTTAAATGCTTCAAGATATTGCTTTAAAACTTCACTGTAGTTTCGAAGTGTCGAGGTAATAAGGCATGATTGCACACTTCAAAAATGATTCTCCTACTTTCAGACAATGACATTCGATTTCAAAATGAATTTGAATGCATCCCATGGTGAGGAACAGTCCAGTGAAGATGAGGACAATTTAAAGAGGTTGGTTGATATAGACATCACATTCAACCTAAGCTAAAAGAAGTCTTTGTTTTTTTCAAGATTTGAAAAGTTTTTTGTATTCTTTAACTAAATTATNGTTATTGACCATGTTACCTGTTGTGCATGATTAAAAATCAGTGTTGACTGACTGTGCTATTATAAGCATTTATTATTGCATCAAAATTGACATAATGACCTATTTTGCATCTTTTTTTTTTCTGTTTTTTGTCTGTACATTTGACAGCTTTGCTGCCTTGTTTAAAAACCCACTTTTAAATTTGACGTTATTTTATCCCAGAGGTTACCTGCACACTTTACTGTACCTGGTAGAGTTAGAGAAGCTCCACGTGCCACACACAAGAGAGTCGTTTGAAAGCTGCAACAAGGAAGGCCTTGTGCGTGGACTGTGGAGAAATCACAGCCATGAAAAGAAGGTGGGACTTATGTATATGTATGCTCTTCTACAGTCCAACATTGTATTAAAACTTGTATCTTGAAAAGCTGATTTCTTTGGAAATATTTCCAATGTATTTAATGTTTTTGCATTATATATGGACCTGAAAGGCTTCCACATTTATCTAGAAATATGGACATTTGAGTGTTGTATTTATGTATCTCCATCCCCCCTTATATAGCTGTGCATCTTCAGCACTTGCATTTTTTATCTTTGAAGATATATCATCTGGTGTAATGGTTGGTAAGTTTTATGTAAGTGTGTCAAGTCCCCCACCTTTTCATTAAAATTGATTAATAGAAATTACGCACAATTTCTTTTAGAGACTAGACCATGCATACAGGCTCAACGCAACACTTATTCCCAACTATTTCAGACTTGCTCTTCATGTACGCATGTAAACACGCTATTTTTTACTGTGAATTATTTTTTAATTTTTGTAGGCTGTCCGTTTAATTGCTGACTTGTGCCTGGACTTTGAAATATTTGAAGTTCAACTGTGGAATAGTGTTTTGCAACAATTGCTTGCCTTTGGAATGGTAAGTCCACTGCTGTATAGTGACCTCAGTCCACAAATAATTGTTTTAAGCTGTTTTATTATTATTATTATTATTATTATTATTATTATTATTATTATTATTATTGTTGTTGTTGTTGTTGTTGTTGTTGTTGTTGTTGTTGTTGTTGTTGTTGTTGTTGTTGTTGTTGTTGTTGTTGTTGTTGTTGTTGTTGTTGTTGTTGTTGTTGTTGTTGTTGTTGTTGTTGTTGTTGTTGTTGTTGTTGTTGTTGTTGTTGTTGTTGTTGTTGTTGTTGTTGTTGTTTTGTTTTTTTCATGTTTATTAGATTTTTTTTCCTAAGATCAACTCCAAACACTGTTTACCATGTAAGAAGCACTTTTAAATAAGTTTTACTGACAGAACTTTTTATTTACAGTACTTTGGGTTTCAATGTAGAGGTATTTGTGACAATTAAATCTAAGACATGTTATTCTTAATAAACAAGATCAGGGGGCATTATAGTTTTCGCCTGGTCTTGTATCTGTTCAATCCTGGATCTATCACACCTTTCTGGAAATTATTCCATCTTAGCCATGAGAATATTATGTGGCACTTCACCATTAACAGCCAAGCCTTAATCTTACCAGCACTAAGTAGCACCATTTGGCTGGTACATCCAGCCAGTTGAATATAAGATAAAAGACCTATTTTTTCCCTTTCACAAAATTTATGCCATTTTCCTTCACTCTTTATAAGAATAATGATTATAAGGAAATACATTTTGATTTCAGATGGAGTACCTGTGCCATGTGCTGGTGTGTCTGTCAGGGGTCCCAGAGCTGTGGCAAGTCAGCTGCATTCAGAAGATGTGGAAAAGTGTCCTCTTTGCTCCTTTAAGTTTAGGTAATATAGTTACCAAGGTAGATGATGCTTGGCTTAAACTCACAATTTTGGACTGAACTAGGAAACGTTCATTTTGGCTAAAATTGAAAAATAAAAAGTTGAAAAAGTTTATATTTGATTAGTTTGAAATGTTAATGTGTAATTTTAGTTTAAATTAAGTTTCCTGTATTAGAATTGTATGCATCTTTATGTGTAAATGTTATTATTATTATTACAGATGGCTTAATGCTGTTTTACATTATTTTCAGCTGTTCCACCTCTCTCACATTCTCAACAAGAAGAATGTGCCAAGTCCCTGATTCTTTTGCACAGGTAAGTAGTCAGATAATTTTTACAGATAAAATTAATTTTAGCTTATTCATTTGAAAACTGGCCAAATTGATAGCAATAAAAAAAGGAAATGGGACACATTGAACGATGTGACATCTGGTCAAGTTTGTATAGTGCTTTTGTTTTTATATGAGTTTGTGTATAAGTTTGAACAGCAGATTTTCACTTTTCTATGTTGTAACATTTCAAGAGGTGTACTCAATTTTGAGTCAATTTCTAAGTTGTCTATATTCATACTGTATTTGATCATCAGATGTCCAGTACTCTTGGACATGGACCTGCAGGGCCTGTGTAAGCAGTATGTTAGGCTAGAGATGCAGGCCTGTGCACTGGCTTGCCTGCTTATGATACCTGCAGCCAAGAGCAGACAGGAGCTGATTGAGGTGAGTCCTGTGTGTGTGCGCGCGCGCGCGCGTGTGTGAGAGAGAGAGAGAGAGAAAAGGGGGGGTGATCATAGGGGGAACTCTCTGTGCATGTGAGTAAATGTGGGTGGGTGTATCAATTCCATGGTTTAAAATGTGTTAAATTTCAGTAAATAAGTTTTTTAATGTATAATATTTATGTAAGATATCGCTGAAGCCATGTTTTTGATAATGTAAGAATCAAAAGTTCAGGACACTAGTATATTCATACATACTCATAATGTTCATTTCATGTGGAGGACTTATATGAAAATGCTTTGTTTCTAGAACTTACTGAGTTCAGGCTGTGCACAGGATATTCTTAGTCAGCTGTCAGAATTTACAGAGAGGAAAATCAATATACCACTGCATAAGCAGGTCAGGTCTTTCTTCTTGTTTTATATTTTCAGTTTTTGTTTTAAAATCTTTAGCTTATTTTAACATCAAAATTAAAATCTGCAGACATGCCAGTTGATCATAGACCAAAAAATTTTAGTTCATGTCTAAATTTTGTGCTTGATTTTATTATTTAATTTATATATGCTTTGCTGCAGTTTTATTATTTTGGATTGCGGAGTGACATGCCATGGTCTTTAAAGGTTTTTGTTCTAAAGGGAATCTAAGCTCTTTCCTTCCTCTAAGGATTATGGATATTGTACTTTTTTTTTTCAAGTATCATCCATTTGGATTAGGTTTAAGGTATTTAGTAAGTTTCTTCAGAATATTTTTCATAAATGCAGGTGAAAATAAATGTGTTTAGTATAACATTTTGCCACTTCTGTTCCAGATTGAACAATCTGCATTATTGTGGCAAAGCAGGACAACAGACAAGGCTGGTTAAAGTGGGAATAAGTTCAGTTTGATGGAAGGAAAAGCCTGTGGGGGCAGTCATGGTTCTGTCGTTTATTTCTCAATTTTTGGATACTTATGCCTCTGGACAATGGACTGGGACAATGAATGCAGACTATACACAACACTGTATACTAATACTTATAAAATTAAAGTTATTATTCTAAAAAAAGGGACAGATGGATACAATACTAAAAGCATTTGCCTTTGGTCACGGAGATTGACTTACTGTATATATTTTGATCATTTGTTTGGCCAATAGTCATGAATAGATGAAGCAAAAAAAAAAAATTTTATTCAGCTTATATATATTTTGCATATATCATATCATCTGTTGCATAATTTCTTTTATTTATCATTTCATTATCACAAAGAAATATTCCAGTATTAAAATCACTTTTAAAAATACAATGAAAGTGCAAATTTTTTTTCTCAACTCTGATATACTAATATCAGATTTACAACTATTTTATTTAGTACATATGAAAATATAACTATTATAATAATGTTTTCTTTAAAATGGGGGTTAAATATCAAAAATATTTTCTGAATTGCTTTTCAGAAGAGTAATTGTAATATGTTTTGGTTTTCACTTCAAATAAAGTGTACAAAATACTGATGCCCTTGTAAAAATTTTAATCTAAATAACTTTCAGAGCACAAATATCAACATGGGCAATACTAAAAGAGTTATAATAAAAACCTGAAAAAATATACCTCTCAACAAAAAATTTGTTTTAAAAAATGGATCAGTATAAACCTCATACAAAGACTATTAAAAAGATGTGGATGATATAATGCACTGTATAGTAATTATAACTAGATGCAGATTTGACAAAAAAAAAAGGTATTGCAGGCTCTCAAAGGCCTGTCAAAATTAGGTATTGCCAGCCCTGACAATATTTTACAGGCACAAATAACTTTTCAAGACATAATCCACGTGCACACCAGTATTTTACTGGTTTTCCTAAAACTTTTTAACAACTATTGTTATAAAAACAATTATGTGCACATCAGTGATATATAAGCAATAACTGGCCCAATTCATGTTTTAATTTTTATGTACATTGCTGGCCTGACTTCACTGTTGCTTTCAAAAGTTAAACAGTTCAAGTAGAAATAATATACTCAAATATCCATGGAGTTTTCACTATGGCATAAAGTCACTTAAAATATGACAATCTCTTTGTCACTACTACAGAAAGTATGGCATACTCTACAGAACTTTGTAGCAAACACTTGGAAGTCAGATTCAGCTTGCACCAGGCCTCTAAAACGGTAACAAATTATTCTATAAGTGAAAAAAAAATATTCAAACTGAAATTTATGATCAGTTATCTGCAGGAAAAGGCAATCTCACAAAACCAAAGAAAAAATAAATGACGGATCTCCAATAAGATGCCCCCCCCCCCCCTTCCTGTACAGCTTCACTCAAAATTTAAGGCATTGCGTAAATTTTCTTTTATCTAAAATCTAAGCTCCACTCTTAATAAAACTACTTAATAAAACAAAATTTTAAAAATTTAAAAATAAATAGAGACACCTCATCTTTAATAATATAGATAAAAATAATATCACATAACCATACAAGTTGAACTTGTAATTCTCCCTGAGTTTTCATATTCAAATTTTGTTGCATCGTCTTTTCTTTTGGTGGGTGAAGTATTTACATTGCTGTTACTAGAACCATATTGCATAGATTGTCTGGACACAGGAGGAAGAGGTTCAATCTCTGACATTGTTAATGTGTACCTCCTCCCACGCTCATGAATACTCTTTCTCCTTGAACTTCCTGGTAAACTTGCCCTATGACTTTTAGACATGTCGACCATTGCTTCAGAGCTATGACTGTGAACAAGGGTTCCCTTCCTTTTCTGTTCTGTTCTACCAGGAAAAGTCTGACTGAGATTTTCTTGATCATTACAAGAGCTTCCAGAAGAGCTTGTTCCGCCATCTTGGAAACTCAACGACCTCAAAACTGTGAGGTCTTGACTGGCTTGTATTGCTGATAAACGCCTTGTCTGGACGACAGGAGCGTTCTTCCTGTTGACTTCATCCAAAGTGAATGATAAGTGTGACTCTAATGCTTTCACTCTCTGACTTTTCTTTTCTATTTCCCTGTTCAGATTACAAATCTCCTTTTTAAGTTCACTGACTTGGTTGTCTCTTTTAGACAGAGAGTCTTTTAACTCCTCTATTTCAGCTCTGCATCTTTTCAAAGCAAGCTCTGTGGTTGTCTGCTTATCTAGCAAACTTTTCTGAAGAAAGTTCCTGAAATTATAAAAAAGTTTGAAATAATATACCAAAAAAGCATTGCAGTTACATGCTCTAACATAGACAATAAAAGCAACAAAAACTACAAGTTTAAAAAAAACAAAAGTTTAAAGACTTAAGCAAAACCATTACAGGCATAGGCAAAATATTGGAAAATTCTTATGCAAAATATATATATATCATAGAATGTATGGCAAATGCGTTTAAGAAACTGTTCAAACTTAAGACCAATATGATATAAACAATATTGCTGAAGCTTAGATTTTTACAACTTGAATGTCAAACTGAAGATTGGATTGAAAGGTTAGGTTGATGAAAACAAGCCAGAAAACACAGCAAGCAGGTAATATTTTAAAAGACTGTTCATGAGATTTTTCTCATATATAATCTTATTTTTATTACTTGACTTTAACTACTGAAATTGCTATTACCCATGCATGAAAAATTAATGAAAGTGAAAATTGCAGAGTTTTCCAGAGGTGCAGCATAAACTGGGAGTGGGTTTGGTCAAGTTCTGGATAGATGATGAATACCCCAGGTAACTGTTATTTTTTACTTCATATCAGAAATCTCATGAACTTTCCTTGTTGGCTTATGTCACACTCACTTTGTCCATGCCAGCCAGTAAGGCAACTAAAGTTTCAAAGTACTGATTATAGTTCTCCCACACCAAGCATGCTCTTTGCTATAACCAGGGATGAGATTTTTCCAACTATTGGGAGATTTCCCACTATTTGGGAGCCAAAAATATCATTTTGAGATCGATGCAGATCTGCAATAAAAATTATGGTGCAGGAGGTCTGGATCCCATGCCACATTTTCTGACTTTTTCACTAAATGGCAGTCTCATCCCTGTATAGGTCCCAAAGAAAGCATGTGTTAGACTGGGTTCCCATGAACCTATCATACTAGCAGGATCGATCTAACTCCGAGGGGATTCTCACTAAATTGCATTCAGTTAAAGCGGCTTAAATGTCTGTAAGGCCCACTGAAGCTGCTGGGGGGGGGGGGGGGGTAATGAACTTTCATGCACGCTTAAACTAAATGCAATTTAGCAAGAAACCCCTTGGAGATAGACTGATTCTGCTAGTATGATAGGGTATGGGAATGGCCCCTTAGGCAGAGGACAGTCACCTTGAGTGGTCTGATACTAAGGGTGAGATACCATTAAGGCATCCCCACTGCAGACAATATCACAGTAGATCAGCTGTATGGTGTTATGTGTATGCATCCCCCTACACCATCAATTTACTACACTGACTGATCACTGCACCAATAGCTCCCCACACAGTGATATATTGTTTGATAGGACACATTAAAATTACATTTCCTTAAATCCAGATAAAAAATCTCATAAGATAAAATAAGCTCAGTCAGCCAATCAATAACATGATTTTCTACTATCTCCAAATAAAAATATTTAAGAAGTATTCACCAATAAAGCAATCTTTCAGCGTGGGGATCTACAGGTATGTACAGTGTAGGAAAAAAGGGTCTATCAGCATAAAGCCAGCTGCACAACTGTAGGGCACTGATAATATTATTATGTTTGACTGATAGCCTATGTCACAAGGTGGGTCCTAGGTCACAACAAACAGATTTGGATTGTATTAATAAAACATGCCCTAATAATGTACTAAAAACCAGTATCAGGGCAATGCTCCCCCCCCCCCCCAACAATTTGTCTGGGACTATTGTCCTAGAATACTACAAACCCTCCAAACCTTTCAAAAGATGGGTGACAATTATTTAAGTTATATATTATAAGTAAAACTGGGTCTTTTAGCTCTATTTATACAATCCAAAAGTGACTTGCATACTTCATATTTGTGCTCTACCTGTTGTTTGAACTAATGAAAATAAAAGTAAATAATAAGTTCAACATTGTTACTTTTGGTTTGAGTGCTTTAGTTTGTGCTGATTAATTGTATACTGTGTGAGGAAAAAAAACAAAGAATTGAAAAACAGTGAAAATAAATACCATTTAAACCAGACACTGATCAGTTACATGCCTTTTACCATTTGATTACATCTTGTTGCAATGAAAATATTTTAAAAAGGTTATTATAAATGAAATGGTCAAAAACTTACCAATATAACTAATAGATTAGCAAATTCAACGTTAACCAAAAAAGAAAACCATTTAAAAGAAGAGCTATTCCTCATTTCTTTTCCCCACCAATAATAATTTCCCACTTGCAAAACCTTTTCATTTCATCATGTCTCACACACAAAAAAATCAGACAACAAGGTTGACAAAATTACAGACCAAACCTGTGAGCCAGAGAAGACAGTGAGTGCAGTTTTAAAAATCAATACAAGTGCAAAGGAGACCAAGAAGTGTTTCAAAATAACTTCACTTAGTCCAGTTCTACCAATAAATATATTTTAGCAGCATATTACAATACAAGATCTGCCAGTAAATGTTAAGTTAGACAAATTTCATAATTGACTGTTAAGGAGTAAACAATGCAAAAACAAGTGCTGAAGAGATGATTAATGCAACTTGTGATTATGACATGGACAGACAACTAATCAGAACATTTATGGACACTATATAAAAACCAAATGCACCTCCTTCCTGAACTGTCTTGAATTAAATTTGATAGGAATGCAAGTGGTAAAAATTACAGAGGGCAAAAGATGTTAAAGATGTGCATTTAATATAGCACTGTGGAATGGCCAACAAACAATATTAAAAGGCTTGATCTTCAATACAAGTCACAGTGATACATGTACCCACCAGTTAATCTTGGCTCTTTCTTGCTTTATTTCATCCTCAGTGCCTCCCTTGATTAACAATTCTTCTTTTTCTTTATCTAAGTCAGACCGTAGGGAGGCCAGCTCCTACAAAAGAGAAATATAACAATATGCCCAAATGGAAATATTTTCTCACTTTATTCTATGCATTTATTATTTCATCTTGCAGCAAAGTAAACCATAAATGAGCAGAGTCATTAAAGGCCATTTTCTCTTAACTCAGAGCAATTAACCATGCATTCATAATCTAAGTGTAAATCTTCAACCTTTACATTGCAATTTTGAATTAAGTTTCACGAGAAGCTAAAATTATTCATTGTTATCAAAACAAATATAAGTTTTGATGCATTTTCTTTGGCATCATAAACACTAGAGGATAGAAGAATCACAGCAGGTCAGCATCACTTCATTGACTCCTTGGAGCCTAAATCTGTGCCAGTTGTACATGTACTACATGTAAGTACTGTTTTAACTCTGCAAAACATGTACATACAAGTTCTAGCCATGACATATGGAGCCAGTTGCCATTCTGTTGTCTAGCCCTCCAACACTGGTAATCACATACAGTGCCCAGTGATGGGAAAATATAATCACATTTTTCAGAACAGATAATATGGTATAGAGTTATTACTGTCCCATCTGGACAGTTAAAGTGACTTGAAACATTTTTTTTAATAATAAGAACTTCATATTTTTAACATTACCGTGTCTAGATCTTTGAGTTCACTTTCTCTTTTATTGCAGAGTTCCATTCTTCTATCTAGATAACCTTCAATTTCTTCAACCTTACAAAACAAAACAAAATGGTCTTGCTAAGCAGGAACATGGACAAATCAACTAGAACTGTTCTGAAAATTTTCTGGCATTCTTTTCAAAATGCTTAATAAATAAAAAAATTCAGAACAGGTAAATGTAACAGTTACTTATCAATATTAATTATAAAATTTATCAACAGCATTTTGTTTTACAAGAAATGGTCTACAAGATTGGCCCAACTCTGCAGGGGTTCCTACTGAGTGCAATAAGCTTTTCAAATATTCCATTTACAAGCATCCACTTGGCTTTTGTAGAATAGAGAAAAGCTGGTTATTTTAAAAGTACACAAGAAACAAGAAGCAGCATGTCATTCAGTAAGCTGATTGCACTTAGCGAGAGTCCCATCAGAGTTGGGTCGATCTCCGTATACTAATGATGTGTCTGTGGAATGGGGTCTAATTGTTAAGAGTGTTAATACTTAAAGGGATAATAACTCTTCGTTTTGGCCCAAAAATGAATTTTCCTGGAGTAAACAACAATTTTCCCATACTTACCAATGATTAATGAATCTATTTTTACATTCAAAGTTAGTCCCTGGTTTTTTTTCTAAAAAGTTTTTTTTTGTTATAATCTCTTAAGAGATTATAACAGAGTATAGCCATCAATGGAGGTCACGTGGTCTAAAGACAAGCTCAGACATCAGAATGACAGCTATAACTGACGTTTTTGTGGTAAAACAAAATATAATATATTTCTATGAGTTCTTCACAATGTTTTTATTGTGAAATATAGATCTCATACGAAGAGTTATTATCCCTTTAAGTTACAAAAACTTTTACATGAATGCTTAGTTTTAAAAAAAGGATTTCCAAATAACCTCTTTTTCATAATCAATAAGATTCTTTTGTCTTTGGGCGATTTCATCTTCCTTTTCCAACAATTTCTGTTCCATAGCAAGAACTTCCTTCTGTCGCTCCACCAGATCATGGTTTGCTTCAATATCCTTAATTTCACTCTCAATCTGTTCTTTCTTCTGGTTCCTTTTAAAAAAATGTTATGTAACAGATTAAAATGTTGTATTCCCTGTCTTTTAACTGCTACTGAATTTGAGAAATAAGGCTTGTAATAATTTTCCCAGCTTTAAATTTATTTCAAATTTCCCATTTTCATCCTAAGTTAAAAATGCTGACTAGACAAGATGTAAACAGACAAACCAAAGCAACAAAATCAGACCTTCTTGTACTAAGTATAAATTAAAGCAAAAGGAGATGCATTTTGGTACAAAACATTCCATAAAATAAGAGAATTGTTTTGAAATCATGGTTTTCTTTTAAAGCTAATGAAGTTGAAATATCTCAAAATGGTATGTTTAAATTAAATAATGGTATCAATTATAATATGTGTGATGTAAAAAATATCACAAAATTCACTTCAAAACAGAATTCAACTGACAAAAAATAAATGAAATATCTTAAATAAAACTAAATGTAATGGATGTTTTTTTGTTTTTGTTTTTTTTTATCTATCCAAATCATGCTAAAATGTAAAAGGAAAGGAAAAGTGGTTAAATTTGTGAATGTTCTTATGTGTGGTCCTTACTTTTTTGCCTGGAGCTGCTGGTCAAGCTCATCTAACTCTAATGCTGCCAGCTGTTTCTGATCCTCCACATTCTGCTTAAGCTGAGATATCTGAAATAAGAAATACAAAAAAATGACTTCTTTTTAAAGGTTAAAGAGCAGGTATGTTGGTTTAAGTGTTTAAGTCTGAGTCATAAACCAGATTTTGGTTTGTCGGTTTCTTACTCATACATGCACACCTGTGGCCTCTTTTAAAGTAAGAATGCTTTAGAAAAAAATGTCAGGTTGATGCTGTTTGTTAACCATGACTGCATGATGCATACTAACTACTGAATTTTAATTCACTGGTAAACAACTCTCTCTCTCTCTCTCTCTCTCTCTCTCTCTCTCTCTCTCTCTCTCTCCACAATCTATGAACACAAAAATTAATTATATATATATAATAACCTCAAAAAATATATATACCTCTTCATTACACTGTTTTCTGAAAGACTCTAGCTGAAGGTTCAGCTCTTTCATTTGCTGCCTGAACAACCTGCGACACTCTTCCAGCTCCTCTTCCTCATGATACAGCTGAAATTGCAATAGTTAATATATCATTTGACATAGAACTTTCATAAACTTGACTTTCAAAACTTTAGAGTTTTCAAACAATGGGAAATTACTTCATATTTCATAATAATTCTCTTGACTTAAAAGTTTCAATTCTGTATTTTATCATAACACCTGGGAACCAGAAACACAAAAAATTTGACTTAACAAAATGTACATGTTAGTTTTAACTTTTTTAAAAAAAGTTCATGCAATTTCATGAAACTATAACCTGTGAATGTTGTTTTTCTACTCCATTTGCTGTATTTTCTTCTTCCTTGGACAGGCTCTCATTTTGTTCACCGTCCATTTTCAGTTGATGACATTCAAACTCGAAGGTTTGGTTATTCTCCAGGCAAAATTGAACATGCTTGTTGCCTGCAGTCTAGTAAAAAGAATCATTGAAATATTCAATGAACTACATTACAGTCAACAATAAAAAAACATGAACACTCTTTTGGAAACACCTCAATGATCACCTCATCATCTATCTTTGTTATGCAGTGAAAATCTCAATGTGATCCATGAATTCAACTGGCAGGAGGTCAGAGAGACCACACAAATACATCACATCCCTTCACAACCAGACTATCACCCCATTTCCATAGATTAGATCGACCTACTTTAGATCGACCTAACTCCCTGGGGGTTCACGCTAAATAGCTGTCAGCCGGACGGACACGAAAGTTAATTACCCTCTTACAGCTTGTAGTAGGCGGGACGGACATTTAAGTCGGATTATCTGAAAGTAATCTAGTGAGACTCCCCGCGGGGATAGATCGATCTAAAATCTATGGGAATAGAGCCTATCACTTATGGCACTGTTATGTGTTCAGCCCACTTATATCAATACTCAAAGTTTACTGCTGTCATTTACGGGGTGTTGACTTTCTTTGACAGCGATACTTGAAGGTACCCTGCTTAAAGCTGTTAAACAAATATTCTTCTTTTGTTAAAATTCAAATGTACTACGATATGGTTCAGTGTTGAAGTAAGTTCAATGACATCAGCTGGAAAGGCTATTGAAAAGAAGTGAATTAGCCTGTCAGATAAAGAGTAAAACATGCATTATTTTAAATGTTTGAATGGCAAGTTTGTATTTTGCTTAGTGACATCAGTGTATTTTGTAGAGTGATAAATACACACACACATTTTCTTGTAACTTAACAAATCCTATCATTAGAACCATATTTAGCTAAGATATAAAAGATATTATTCCAATGAAATAAACACAAAAATTTAAATCAGAGTTTTTTGCAATCTATCATTTTAATGTGTATTGAGTAATTCTCACATAATGTGGCTACATGTACATGTTATTGTAGCCTAAATAATAAAAATGCATTTTTTTTATTATTTAGGTTAAATTCTCATTCCTACATTTTCAAAAATAGCAAATCAAAGCCAAGGACAGTAGCTCAATTGTTTTTATTCAAATCTCAGCTCATTTGACATACACACCAAATCAAATTTTTCTTGTAAAAAAAACTCATTGCTCAACCCATTTCTGCCTTTGAATTCAATATTTAAGTAAGTATTTAACTAAGTTTTATAAATGAATCTTCATATATATAGTCCTTGTGGCATTTCAGAAGGAAATACTGATATCAGGTATTTTTATTTTAGGGATTCATTTTTTAAACTTCTTTTTATTCTTTCCCTTTTTTTCTCTCTCTTTATATATTTTATTATTTAGGTCTGCATTAGGTAACATTTGTAGCTATGGAGGATATTTCTATTTAAAAATAGAACTTCGGGACATTTTAAACATGTACAGAAGACCTTTTATATACATGTCCCCTAAAACTTTGCTGTATGCCTACTTGCGCTTTTCTTCAGACTTTATATGAATTATTATCACTTTTTTCAAGAGCAGCTTTCCCTTTTTTCCTTTTATTTTTGGTTAGGTAGATAATTTTTCAATCATTTATTTTTTTTCCTTATTGACTCAACGCTGATTAATTGTCATTTTCTTCACTAATTTTTGTCCAAGTTTAGCTTATATTAACTGCACACCTCAGGCATGGGCTAAGTAACACCTGCACCTTCACTTCTAAAAAAAAAGAACTTAATAGTTGTTTTGAAGAAACTATTATAGTAACTGAGCTAAGTGTTATATCACAGCTGCTGAAATTCTTTACTGGATACATACTTGTTTGCACTATCTCCCACCAGATAGTATAATATTTAAAAAGAAATTCATTTGGTTAAATTTTATTGTAAAATTTTACGTGTCACTGACATGTGCAACTAAGTCTTCACACAAACATTTTTGTTTTTTGCTATTTTCATTAATTTTAATAAGAAAATAAAATACAGAATCATTTTGAAATAAAATACAAAACATTTCTATTATTAAGCACTAGAATTTTTACATAAATAATGAACTTTGATTAAGAAAACATGGCATAAACATTTGTCTATAAGATTTTAAGAAGGAATTCACTATCAGACAAAAACTTTATATGAAGCTTGCTTAAACTTTTAGGAATGATTTGATTCAACTGTTAATGAGCTGCAAGATATGTTGTTTTTTTTTTTTTTTTTTTTTTTGCTTTTGCTAAGAGGGCTTTAAGATATGCATCATACAGTCAGATCAGGAAAATCCTCAACAAAATGCTTCAATCTTTTAAAACAAATTCTGTATCTTACTTATTGCCAAAAAGGGAACTACTCATTGTTTTTTATTCTACTGCTAAAAATGTGTAACCACATAACAATCAACCACTTTTATGTTTGATAACAAAGTATGATAAGATACCAGCTGTACAATGGAATCTATATACCAGTACACTAATTAGTATGCAGGCTTGTAGGCAGAAAGGTGGATGGGGGGGGGGTCAGGGTTTCTAACCAACCATTCTTTTAGCTGGGAAAAGGTCTGCTCCAACTCAAATTATGATCTAGGATAAACTAGAATTCATAATAAACAAAACATGCAGGTTTTGTGTTAAAAAGAACCTCCTCTTTGAAAATACTGGCTACAAGCCTTCATTGTCTACACAAGTAACATCCCATAGATAAACAGTTATATGCCCAAGAAACATGTTCTGCATTTCTGATGACAAACTTGTCTGGGCTTTCCTCTCTTGCATTCCTATGATTATCATTAATTTTATCATAATATTTTTCACTGACAGTTCAAGGGTCTGTAGATGCCTACACAATAATGCAAAGCATGCAAATGATAGAGGATTTGGTGAAGCTAACTATAGCAGTCAGTTTATTTATTTATTTATTTATTTATTTATTTATTTATTTATTTATTTACTTAACACAACCCAATATATATAGGCAGATGGAAACTTCACTTGGTAGATGAGAGGTTAGGAGGAATGTGTACCTTAAACAGAATACTGTGTTTGAATAATGTGATTGTAAATTTAAAAAACAATGTAAAAAGGTGTTTTTAAACCTGTAAGCTTGAACTCACTAAGAACTCATAATAAACAACTAGACCAAACTGGAAAAATACAAATAATAGTTTTCATTAAGAGTGCACCGTGAATAACGCAAGGTTATCTATAAATAGAACAACAAATAATTTTGAATTTGTCCGTCAATACAGCAAAGGCATTTCCGATGCAGCCTTTCGATAAATAGAGGCGCAGATCAATGTGTAACGGTGCATGTGTTAAAATGTAACGCTATCCAACTTATTTTCACGGCCAATTAATCCTCACCTTTGCTTCACAGCTGCCATCGTTTTGTACACAAACACATCCTTCAGAAGGTTCCATATCATAACACATGTGCAACAGACATGACAACCGTCAATTGCAACCCCATAACAGCCCTGTTGTCTCCTACATCCCTGGGGAAATCGACATGTTTACATCGGAAGTCACAGCTGTCATGGTGTTAAAAACAGGATTACGCTGCATCGATGCAACTTTTATTTAATGTAGGCATCGAATAGGTCATTAATGTTATCAGATGGATCTTTTGAAGACAAATCATTACCCAAAGCTCTTTTCAGTATTGTTTTAGAAAGCTGTATGGATTTTCAAAAGGCGCAAATGCTCTAAATGGATAATATTTGTTTTATACTTTAGCTCTTCTTGCCAAAATGGAATTGTGGGAAGGACACTTGTTTTCAAAATGGCAGACTGAGATTTGACGATGGACCACATACAACGACAGGTAATATCACCTTATTTATAGATCTGAATAATATGATTTCGGTAGATAATTGCCGATAAGACCAATACACATAAATTCTGGCTAGTTACCAATGATAACTGTGTTTCCCTGATTTTTTAACCTTATGAAATTGACCAGCAAAGATCGCCTCGTATGCTACTATTGAATTATATCAATTTGCCATTTGCATTAATTTTTAATGAATGTTATGTGTTCTTTCAAGTGACGAGGTGTTTTCCTTGTTTTATTTATAGTTATGAACTTGTTTGAACATTTGGATTTTTGTTTATTATTATTTTTATTTTAATGTATGCACGAGTGTGTTTGGAAGATATAAAAAAAATAAATTTATTTTTAAAATGCTGCCCCATTTCATAATCTCATTCTGTTTTACTTGCAAGACAGACTTTTTGGACAACTGGGCAGTATTTATTTATTTTTTTAGGTTATAACTATATTAGTTCAACTCAGATGACTATCATTATTTTTTCTTGAGTGCTTTATTCATTTGAAAAGCATACATGTTTCACAAGCAATAAATAAATAAAATAAACAAGGGGTAAAAATGAAAAACTATTTTAGGCTCAATATCAACAGCACCTGTAGCGTAATGTACATTTCTTAAATAGTAGGATAGATTCAAATTATCAGATGGCAGTCTTGGTATTCTTTTTTTTTTCTTTATTTTTTGCAGCATTCTTGATTAGCCTGTGAAAAGAAATAATGATTGTTGTTTTTATGTTGATTTTTTAAAAATTCACTTGTTTTAGGGTGTTTTTTATCCACAGATTTCACAGCAAACATATTGTAAACATTTTCAATAAGATGAGTTAGGTCTAAAGCAAAACTTTCCTTAGTATATATATCCCAAATACATAAAAAGATTAATTACTAGGTTAATCTAATTCTAGTCCATTGGGAAGTGAGAAAAACAAGCTAATGTACTCACAGAAGGTTGCAGAACTTGTCAGTTTTCTAATTTGACATATGAATATTGAAAGATGTTTATTTTGTACATGAAATCAAAGAGTTTGTACCACAGTGCTAGCAGTGCAGTCTTTTTGAGAAGCTGACAAAGTTTTGGTCAAGTGAATTCTTGTAACATTATGGATGAGTTTGTAAAATGTTATAACTTTTCAGCTTTCAACAGGTGCTATACCTGGCAAAGGTGATCAGTTAGGAAAAGTTGTTGAGTTTCAGTTTAAACAGTACAAATAATAAAATATTTAGAAGTGTGGATTAAAAACAGTCTCTGATGTTACCCACAGCCAGTTAAAAAGTTTTTTTTGACCAGTAGATTTTTCAGAATGTGTGAATGTAATGGTGTATATGGCTGTTAGATTCTTTCTATATATAAGGTTTCAAAAAAGCTCTTGTTTAGATTCAAGTCTTCTTCTGAAACGTTACATGATGATTTTAAAAAAAGATTTGACAAAATCAAGGTCTTGTTATTCCTAGTACTTATTAATGCAATAGGGGAAAATGTCCAGTGAATTCTGATTTGGACCAGTAGATTTTTGGAAACTGGTGGTTGGAATGGCCAGAAAGCTGAAAAGCTTATGGCACAGACTGTGAAGCTAGATGTTCAGGTTCTGATAGGCTTCATTGTTATTTAAGGTTTAAGAAATGGTTTGAGATTGAATCATGCTATATGAATAAAAATTTTCTCAGTCAATTATCTTCTTAACCATCATTATTCTGTCACTATTTACAGTGGATTGCAGCTATTTTTTACCTCCCAAGTACATTTATAATTTGTAAATTAAATCTACAGGTACGTAATGAAAGCAATATATTATATTAGCTTATTTTCTTCCTCGACATAATCAGTCTACATTGGCTAATTTACAGTGCGAGGTCCTCTTTTACAGAAATAACAATAATCTGACTGTATTATCAGCTCCTATACTACAACATATATATTTGAAATACGCAGTGCTGGCAATGTGACCATTTGATTTAAAATCTCATTAAATTGTAATCAGCAGCTGCCTTAATTTGCGGTGTAACCTTATTTTTCTAGATAAATTATTCATGGGAAATTCATTGGGACTTGGCTAAGCTAAAGTGTCTTTCCTAATATGAATCCACCTATAAAATGCTTCTATTTATTTATTCTGATTTTTAATTTGATCTTTGTTTATTTCCAACCTCAGAGCCATTGGCATTCAGAGCATTGTTGTTGAATAGCTTTGATTGGATTATCATTAGGGGTATTGGATTACTAGGATACTTAGAATTAAAAGTTTTCTTTGATTGATTTTTGTTATCATTCCATAGGAAACTTCCTGCTTACATCTCTAGTTTCAATTTTTCCTTGGATAAACCATTTCCTAGCTTTTAAATGGAAACAAGATATAATTTATTTTTAGCAGCTTTGCAGTTGTCCATGCTTAATCATTAGTGCCTAGTTGCTAGAGTGTAAATTGCTTGGTGGAAAGGTATCCCCGTGTTTTCATTATGGCCATGCAGCTTCTTGGCCTGTATATTAACCATAAAAATCTCCCTTTGGTATATGTAATAGAGCAACTCTATAGATCATCAATACAGGGTTATATGGTATTTGCTATATGCCCAATCTGTGGATTGTTTCAGTCTGCTCAAAGTGGACTGTTAGGGTTACAGTGGAGGTATTTTCTACCATTTTCTAGCCACCAGTCTGCTATCTTGCCTGCTTGTGGTGGCTTTGGCTGATATGAAAACTGAGCCCAACTTGAACTATGCTCATATCCAAATAGGAATCAGTGCCTGTTGTTAATGCATATCAATACATGTGTGAAGATTATATAACAAGGTTTAGTTTTATTTTTATATATCTTACTTTTGAGTCATCAGTGCAAATTGATGTGAGACAGTTATAAGAGGTTGAGAACTAGGGTACATTGGAAGTTGCACTATACCAGATTTTACACAAGATATTTAAAATGAGGACTGGGGTTGTCAGCTAGGATACTGTGCTGGTTAAGGTATAGGCAAGAGTCCAGCTCCATGTGGATGAGAAAAGAAAGATATTTATGAAGATATAGAGGACTCGCATCTTCCCCACAGCCATGACAACTAGGGGCAAACAGAGGGACTATCAGAATCCACATCAAGTGTCTCCAGCTAGTCACTAGCTTTTTTGTTCTTTGTAACATCATGATGAAGGATATTTATGATTTGACATCGACGCTCTTAAAGTGGAGCTGAGGTCACCAGGTGAATGATATGCTGGTTCTGACTGTACTATTTTTCTAAGATCTATGCAGATTCACATTTGATCTCGCCACGCTGGGGAAACACTCCCCTGAGCAGAAATGTCGCAGACTAGGAGTTGCTGGGTGCACTCAGATCATGTATATTGCACTTGTTGCTACACCAAAATGTAGCCAGAAATCTGTAAGTATTGTGATTGCTGTTGAAGGCACTTGTTGGGGACTTGTGATGCTTGCTCACAGAAGTGGTATGTTGGCTGAAAGAAGCATCTGGATTTTTAATGTAGATTGGTCTGCTCCTTTTTTATTTTATAAGGGCATAAAGTACAAAGGTTAAACCCAATTGTTGTATGTAGACTCATCAACTATATTTAGACTATCTGCCTTTTGCAAACATGATTTTACTTTTAAGATACAAATATTGCATCAATCTATTAATATGTTTTAATATTTGATATATTTGCTATTAAATTATTTTATATCCTAAATATAAAATAATTTTTTAACAAAATCAACAAGTAAAATGAGAGATTGCTTTGCAACAGGAATCATAATTGAAGTGATATTTGAATAAGGTTTTGAAAAGGTCTTGGTATTTCTCAAATAAGTAAAAAAAAAATACAAACAAAAAAAATATTTCATAGGAGCCATGAGCCATAGGAGAAAAAGACTACATTATATTTGTGAAGAATAGTGTGGTATTGAGAAGTATTAGATTTAGGTTGATATGTTAGACAATAGTCATTTGTGAAGATCTTCTTAGCATGCCAAATAGACATAAAAGAACAGGTGGAGACAAATTAGTTTTATCAGGTTACATAAATAACCATTAGCACAAGTGGAGATGATATAAAAAATGTATATATATATATATATTAGTTAAACAGTCTCAATGGAGGTACTTAATAGTATTGGTATTAAGATTTATCAGAATAAGCATATTTTTTAAATGAAAGAAGGGAACATAAACATTTTGAGAATTTTTACAGTTTAATATTTGTATTTGATCACAGTTATTTTCCAGTTTTGCAATTAACAATTTTACAGTTGTATCATTGTGTATTTAGGGTAAGGGCCAAAGTAGTGTTGTAATTGAAGACCATATGTAATAGGAATTAATTCAGTTTTGTCTGTCTTAATTTTTAAAGGCATTCCTGTTAGATGATAAAGACCGTACATTTTAAATTGCCCTTAGTAGGTCTTTGCATATTAAACAAGTTTGACTGACTTTATATTCTTACAACTACCAAAGTTAAACCTTTATAGGTTGACCCAGAAAACTATAAGTTTGTTTTTAATAGGCCGTAATTTTTTGTGCCTGAAGACTTTAACCATGGAAAAACTGAATTGCTTTCATAAAGCACCTTGGAATTTAAACAGCAGTAAAGTGGTAAATAATTTACTGCCTCATTTTAGTGTAGGCTCATTTTCGAAATAGAATTTTAATGTGGACAATGTAATAAGGTCTTGTAACATAATATGAGGTAACCAGTTGTTTTGAATATTTAATCTTTTATTAATTTTTTTTTAATAATGCATTTGTATTAAAATCTGGACGATGGACTACCAGGCAGTAGAACCCAAGTAAAAAGTCTAAAGAATAACTGTACGATAAGCAAGAAGAAGGACAAACAATTTAAATCCTTTTAAATCATGACTATTTCATGGTCTTATGCAAAGGTCATAAAAAGAATTTATTTGCACTTTTCCATCAGAACTGAGCATATTCCATTGATTCGAACTTTGGGCTGGCAAGTTTTCCAAAACATGTTTTTTACAACACAGAGATGTCACACAGGTGTAGCAGACATATTTTACTATGACATCTTCCAGAGTGTTATACTTCATCTTTAATGGTGCATTTAATCAGGCATGTGGCCCCCATGCACCCTGAGCTTCAGAGCTAACTTGACACTAACCTCTTCACTGTAGCCTATCTTCATCGTGTCAAGTAACCTCTGACCAGATTCGATTGCCTCCGCCGCCCGCCAATCAAACTTAAAA